AGATTCTTGATTACTCATATAAGGTTGTAATAAAATAAAATTCTGATAAATTGAAAAAATTGTTCAGCAAAACCTTAAAATTTTGAAATTTGTTGGAAATTTGGTTATATGCCAAAGTTAGGCTTCTTTTTGTGTTGTCATGTTTGTTGATTTGGCTAAGTAGGGTTCATTTGAAGTTCCATTTCTCTACAAGAATGTTAATGTTCACATCCAAGAGGAAACTATCACAACTGGTAAGCATTCTAAATGATTTTTTCACTTACATTAATCAAAACTGTTATTTTAAGTGGTGCGTTCTCATGGATGCCACACCCGTTGTCACTATATAGACCTTCTAGCGGTCTATAGAAGAATCCTAGCGGCTTTATGAAGAAGTTTGCTGCGTTTTCAATGAAGTATCACTCTGTCAACATTCTTCTCTATAGTTCTTTCTCTTACTAAGTTACCACAACCCAAGTGTAAGACATTTACATTTACAAAATAAAAGATTGAATTCTATGTCTAAAAGAGAAACTTTATTTCATCATCTAAAGCAATAAATATTTTTTATTGTGTTTCACGTATACCTTTTCCACCCTTAGATCAAATTGTTTACGATCAAATTGTTTACGTCATCTTGACCAATGTTTGGTCAAACACGTTGTCCATCAATGTTTCCTCTCAAACCTTCACCAATTTATGTTATCCCTAAAATAAATTCAAATCCTCCCCAAATTTAAAGCCATAACTTATGCACTGACCATCCTATATGTTTGCAAATCAACATGGTATATTTTCTTAATTATTCTATTTCTTTCTCAGTGTACATCGATGATACCAAAATTCATTAAGGACAAAACAGTCATCTTGTATTTAATTCTTATTAATATAGTAAATGCTTCCAATTTTGAAGATAATAATCGGTCTCATACATGTTAAATTACAATTGCTCGATTTCCAACTATCTAACTCAATAACTTTATGTAATTATTCTTAACCTTACCTTTTTCTATAACGTTATTGATTAGATTTACTATAATTAAGTTTAAATTGCAGAGATTTTTACTTGAAAGGGATGGGCATTAGTTGATGTTTTTATTGAAGCTTGAGGATGATGTAAAACTCAAAATCTCTTAGTGGTAATATCCTACATACTTAATAATTGATTATTTCGACAAAATTACTTTCCATTAACTTTGATAATAATTTTTTTGAATTAAGCATATTTTTATGATTACAAATTTGTTTTCTCTACTCAATTGTACTTATCATCCTAAATATGAGAAAAGATTAACCATGTCTATATTGAAAAGTGCCAAAAAAGATCTTCTTGGTCCATGATCTTCAAATATTCTTTGTTTTTTATTCGTTTTTGTGTATTTGATTTGTTTCTTCAAGAAGCTCAGTTTTCTATTAATTTTGATAACAAATTTGTTGAATTAAGCATACTTTTATGATTATAAATTTGTCCATTTTCTATTGTTAAATCAAGTGTAAATGAATTTGAATAATCGTTAAATTTCATATTCTATAATTTAATTTATGCACTAATTAATCAAATAATAGTACATATCCAAGTGGTCGGGTACCTCCAAGACAATAAGGAAACATGTAAATTATATGCAATTTCACAATATTGTAATTTTTTTACTGGATTTAAATGAACACTTACTTCTTTCACTTGATTTTAGATTCTTGATTACTCATATAAGGTTGTAATAAAATAAAATTCTGATAAATTGAAAAAATTGTTCAGCAAAACCTTAAAATTTTGAAATTTGTTGGAAATTTGGTTATATGCCAAGTTAGGCTTCTTTTTGTGTTGTCATGTTTGTTGATTTGGCTATGTAGGGTTCATTTGAAGTTCCATTTCTCTACAAGAATGTTAATGTTCACATCCAAGAGGAAACTATCACAACTGGTAAGCATTCTAAATGATTTTTTCACTTACATTAATCAAAACTGTTATTTTAAGTGGTGTGTTCTCATGGATGCCACACCCGTTGTCACTATATAGACCTTCTAGCGGTCTATAGAAGAATCCTAGCGGCTTTATGAAGAAGTTTGCTGCGTTTTCAATGAAGTATCACTCTGTCAACATTCTTCTCTATAGTTCTTTCTCTTACTAAGTCACCACAACCCAAGTGTAAGACATTTACATTTACAAAATAAAAGATTGAATTCTATGTCTAAAAGAGAAACTTTATTTCATCATCTAAAGCAATAAATATTTTTTATTGTGTTTCACATATACCTTTTCCACCCTTAGATCAAATTGTTTACGTCATCTTGACCAATGTTTGGTCAAACACGTTGTCCATCAATGTTTCCGCTCAAACCTTCACCAATTTATGTTATCCATAAAATAAATTCAAATCCTCCCCAAATTTAAAGCCATAACATATGCACTGACCATCCTATATGTTTGCAAATCAACATGGTATATCTTCTTAATTTTTCTATTTCTTTCTCAGTGTACATCGATGGTACCAAAATTCATTAAGGACAAAACAGTCATCTTGTATTTAATTCTTATTAATATAGTAAATGCTTCCAATTTTGAAGATAATAATCGGTCTCATACATGTTAAATTACAATTGCTCGATTTCCAACTATCTAACTCAATAACTTTATGTGATTATTCTTAACCTTACCTTTTTCTATAACGTTATTGATTAGATTTACTATAATTAAGTTTAAATTGCAGAGATTTTTACTTGAAAGGGATGAGAATTAGTTGATGTTTTTATTGAAGCTTGAGGATGATGTAAAACTCAAAATCTCTTAGTGGTAATATCCTACATACTTAATAATTGATTATTTAGACAAAAATACTTTCCATTAACTTTGATAATAATTTTTTTGAATTAAGCATATTTTTATGATTACAAATTTGTTTTCTCTACTCAATTGTACTTATCATCCTGAATATGAGAAGAGATTAACCATGTCTATATTGAAAAGTGCCAAAAAGATCTTATTGGTCCATGATCTTAAAATATTCTTTGTTTTTTATTCGTTTTTGTGTATTTGATTTGTTTCTTCAAGAAGCTCAGTTTTCTATTAATTTTGATAACAAATTTGTTGAATTAAGCATACTTTTATGATTATAAATTTGTCCATTTTCTATTGTTAAATCAAGTGTAAATGAATTTGAATAATCGTTAAATTTCATATTCTATAATGTAATTTATGCACTAAGTAATCAAATAATAGTACATATCCAAGTGGTCATGTACCTCCAAGACAATAAGCAAACATGTAAATTATATGCAATTTCACAATATTGTAATTTTTTTACCAGATTTAAATGAACAATTACTTCTTTCACTTGATTTAGATTCTTGATTACTCATATAAGGTTGTAATAAAATAAAATTCTGATAAATTGAAAAAATTGTTCAGCAAAACCTTAAAATTTGTTGGAAATTTGGTTATATGCCAAGTTAGGCTTCTTTTTGTGTTGTCATGTTTGTTGATTTGGCTATGTAGGGTTCATTTGAAGTTCTATTTCTCTACAAGAATGTTAATGTTCACATCCAAGAGGAAACTATCACAACTGGTAAGCATTCTAAATGATTTTTTCACTTACATTAATCAAAACTGTTATTTTAAGTGGCGCGTTCTCATGGATGCCACACCCGTTGTCACTATATAGACCTTCTAGCGGTCTATAGAAGAATTCTAGCGGCTTTATGAAGAATTTTGGTGCGTTTTCAACGAAGTATCACTCTGTCAACATTCTTCTCTATAGTTCTTTCTCTTATTTTCGATATAGATGCGTGTCACAACAATAAGGCAAAAAGAGGTGTTAGTGACCATTAAAGATGAAAAGGTAATATATAATTCAAGAATAATATATAAAGCGTAAATCGTAGATTTATGATATTTATTTCAATGAAAAATATGTTGTTTGATTGTTAGGTTACATATCTGTTTTTTTTATAATTTGATTTTGATAAGTTTGATCTAAATTTGATAATTGAAGTAGGTAGGAAAGATATGTGCTAACGATTTTGAATTTGTATTGCCCTATAGAAACCAACCGTAGCCTCACAAACTATTCCCTCATATCTCAGTAGGTCTTAACATTTCCCAAAATTCAGCTACAAGAAGTCATGGATGCACTTCTTGAATCAATCCTTTAAACCGAATTTCATTTGCTAGTTGGATGTAGTGACCAAAATGCAATATTTGTGATAGTTCATTATTATTTATTAGTGTTAACACTTAATAAATTATGAATGTAATATCATATTTTTGTTCATAACATTTTTTTTGTAATAATTTATTTGATCGGAAGATATGTATATGTGACTAGGTGTAGCCTGAAAAATCATATTTTAATTTTTATAAGGAAAAAATATTTTGAAATCGACCAAAATACAATGTCTGAATTTGATGTTTATGGTTATGACAATTCACTTTATTTGTAATGTTTATGGAATTTCTTTACAGAATTTAATGTTGTTGGTACATGTAACAACTTATTGTTGCTTTTGGTTTTACAGGGTCAATATGAAAAGGGTCATATGAGCCTCCATGGGGGTTGGTACACGGAACAAAGTCAATTCATAAAGTTACTACACAACATTGTTTAATCAAAAAGTCGCATTATGTTGTGATAAAACAAAGATCACATAGATCATTTATGTTCAAAATTATTGTATTAAAAAACCAAATTGCTCTAATATAAATATTAAATATTTTTATCTAATAAGTTTTGTTCAAAAACTCCAAAAATGAATCTAACTAACATTTTTTTTTATTAAAATTCAATCTAAAACAAAGCCGCCTATTTATGTGATATGTATTTAATTTATGTTCCCCGCGTTTAACGCGGGTCATAATCTAGTATATATATATATATATATATATATATATATATATATATATATATATATATATATATATATATATATAAAATTTATGAGGACAACCTAAATTTTTTTTTTGGCTTCGTCATTGCATGTGGCTAACTAACCATCGCCGAAAGTTGCTGATTAAATATTGCCTTTAACAAATTTGATTTTCAGAGATACACTCTACACCATCATTCAAAGAATTTCCCCCTTTTTCTCATTTCCCATTTCCGTTTTCTGTCTCACTTGTTTCTTTCTTTTCTTTCTTACCATTCCTTCTATGCTAGTATCAAGCTTTCGTCGGTGACCATTAACTTGTTTGATCACTGCATCTTCTCGTTTGTGATTACTACTCGTTTTCATTCTTTTAGCAGCTGGAGTTGTTAATTCACCAAGCATTTCAGGTTTTTATTCGTGGGAAGTATTTCATATAATTGATTTTATTGCATTAGGGTTTCAAATTTGAAGACGAAGCAGCAATTACCTGGTTCTTCTTTAGTGGTTTTCGAGGAAAATAAGTTGGTTTGATAGCAATACTTTTGCTTTGGGGATTTCTGTAAATGGAGAAGGACAAGTCTCTAAACCTTGGTGGGAATTTACTCCCTCCTTCTGGGAGGCAGTTGGTTTACTCTCCGCCATCCGGGAACAATTTTAGCATCAAATCGGAGCCATTGCTCCCAATTGGACCTAGTGGTCATACGACGAGTGGTGGTGATTCTGGTCATTTCAGTCATGATGTTAACAGAATGCCTGATAACCCACCTAAGACTACAGGCCATCGACGCGCTCACTCAGAAATTCTCACTCTACCTGATGATATTAGCTTTGATAGTGATCTTGGCGTAGTGGGTGGCTTTGAAGGACCTTCTTTCTCTGATGAGACTGAAGAAGATTTGTTTTCTATGTTCCTTGACATGGATAAGTTCAATTCTTCATCTGCAACATCTACATTTCAAGCTTCAGAAGCTTTCACAGCCCCAAGCTCGAGTGAAAGGCCTCGAGTTAGACATCAGCATAGTCAGTCCATGGATGGGTCTTCTACAATTAAGACAGAAATGCTCACCTCAGGTCCGGAAGAAACATTGCCATCTGATGCTAAGAAAGCCGCCATGTCTGCTGCCAAACTTTCTGAGCTTGCTCTTGTTGATCCAAAGAGGGCAAAAAGGTCATGATGCTTTTTCTCCTTTTCAGTATTTAGCAAATAAGGAGACTGAATTTATATTTGCAAAATCTGCAGAAATTCTGGAAGGTCTTGTTCTAAGATTGAAATTGAAATAGTACTCTAAATTTGCATTGTAGGTTTGAACTTTTCAGATTTCGTTTTGCTGTGTTTGGTAGGAAAAACTTGGTCTTACTTTTTCCAGTTATAGATATCAAAGTTGCATGTCATATATTCAATTTACTAGCTTAAGCTATCTATGAACATAAATCATCATATAACCATGAGCTCTTGAAATATCTATAAGAATACAATCATGCATGAAGTTTTTTTCTTTAATCTTTTTTAGTGCCTCCATCTCCAAGTTATGCATACATACCTTCTTCCTTCTCTAACCTCAACATCGTTGACTGGAATTCTTTAGTTTGTCTTTGATGATTCCTTTCACATACAGCCGTTTTCGTCCATTATCTATTTTCAATTTAGTGGACCCCATGTTTATTTTTTCTTCACATCAAAAAAGTGTAACGATAATCTTAAATTTGTATATAATATATGTTTTAAATTTCCATTTGTGTTTTGTATTAGGATATTGGCCAATAGGCAGTCTGCTGCAAGGTCAAAGGAAAGAAAGATGAGATACATTGCAGAACTTGAAAGGAAAGTCCAGACACTGCAAACAGAGGCAACCTCTTTGTCTGCTCAGCTCACCCTTTTACAGGTTTTCCATCTCATTGGTTACATTGTATCCAAACAAAATGACTGGTTTCAAAACGATAAAAAGTTTTTTTTTTTTTTTTTTTTTTTAGAGAGATACTAGTTGCCTAACAGCTGAAAACAGTGAATTGAGGTTGCGTTTACAAACCATGGAGCAACAGGTTCATTTGCAAGATGGTAAGTAGAATGCATTCAACATGACTTTAACTATTACCAAAATAATACAACTTTTTTAAACAATGTCATACTGCTACTTATCTCTTTCCTATTTCTTTTGTAAATATATTTCGGTTTCTTATATCATTACTAATAAATGATATTACAAAGTCATATGAACACTTATAAGAATAAGACATGGTATTGTCAATAAGGTTTTTCTTAAAAAAATTCTTTCTGACAATATTAGCATTGTACTTTGATTGCTTGTGTTGTTGGTGCAATATAGCTTTAAACGATGCACTGAAAGAGGAGATTCAGCATCTGAAATCCATTACAATGATGAACTTTGGATCAAACCAGCAGTTTCAGTTTCACCCCAACAACACAATGTTAACTGCACAACAGTTTCAGCAACTCCATAAGCATCAGCATCAGTTTCAGCACTATCAGCAGCAGCATATGACACAGAGTGCTGACCTGAATACAAGAACCTCAATGTCATCATTGACCCTGAAAGAACATGCTTCAGAATAAGTTTGGTTTGTTAGTTGTTGTGCAATTGCAAAATCTATTGTCACTTGTTTATAATTATATGCATCTGTTGTAGGTTGTTCAAATTAAATTAAGTTGCAGGTGGCTTCTTACATGAATATGTGTTTCTACTATTGTTGGGTTAGGTCTAACTTATTGTTTTCAGTTGCCTTGGTTGAAGTCTGATGTATTTTTAATGTTGTGTGTGTGTGTGTGTGTGTGTTTTGAAGATTTATCTAAAAGTGGTACCGTACCTATCATGACTAAAATTTTGTGTTCACTCCCATGTTTCAAGAATCATTGTCGGAATTTTCACTATGTGACATCCATGCTCAGCTGCATGTCACATGGTCTAACTCTATGTTTAGCAGACTACTAAAAAACAGGTACACATGGTCTAACGTTATGTTTGACAAGCTAGCTGAAAAGATAGCTGCTAGCTTATAAACCAACTGACAAAAAATGATGTTTGGTAAAACTAGCTAATAAGTTGGCTGAAAGATATATATAAAATTACATAAAAAGACATTTATAGAATACGTTGTTATAATTAATTAATGGTTATTCTGGAAATTTTAGAAAAACTCATGAAAAACTATTCAAAGTTGTGAAGTTGAGCTTTGAAATAATATAGCGATTAGTTGATAAATCATGGTTCATGATAAGGTTCTTTGCTTATTAGTTGATTATGATGTTAAATATCAACTAAGATACAAGTAATCTAACACAAATATAACGTAAATGCTATCAACTGAATTTTGGGTTAGGGATTGTAGTTTATGTGCATGAATATGTTAAGAGACGATCAAATTAAAAAGATGGTAAACCGTACCATCTGAGCGGCTCATTTCAATCCGTCTCAAGGCTTATGTGAAATGTCAATCGTAGAACATTAGTAATATTTTGAATGTGACTGTGTTTCAACCCTAAATCTTCTGTGGAATTTTCACTACTCAACCACTAGGCTCCTATGGGGACAAATGAGTAAATTAATGTTGAAAAATGTTAGGGGATATATAATCTCTAACATTAAATTATTAAAATTATCAATTTTATATAACATTACAAAATTATGTCAAAAGAAGAAGATGATTATAGTTAGCTAGTGGCTATTAATTATTATATATTGATTAGTTATATATTATTTGACATTTAAAAATGATTAATGAAGTAATTAGGTCTTATAGTGAAATTGAAGGTACGATGTCCAGATTAGAAAAAGATGTCTAGTTGTTATAATGGAAAGAGAATTAATTTGGTTAAAATGCTAAGTAAATTGTTTTAACTTTTAACAATGAATTTTATAACAAAATAAATATGGAAATATGGATTAAAAGTAGATTAGCCTATTGAGAAAAGTTGGGAATTTGATAACCTTTGGTAGGTATACAGAGTATTTTCAACCATAACGATGAGCAAAGAGTTTACTTTATATTTCTATTTCATAATTACTTTTATCAACTTTATATTAAAAAAAATTCAATCATTTTTTTCGAGACTAAAAATAACTAAAACTAAATCACATTGTAATTTTTCTACGACTAAACTTTAAACTCGGTCATTATGGTTTGCAAACAATTATGGATGAGATTCAAAAAGTTTTCAACTTACACCACTAGTTCAAAATCGAAAAACTTTTTGTGGATATCGTTCATGTTTAACATGAAAGGACCATTTTGTCCTTTTAATTTCTTTTTTTTTTTTTCAATTTATTGAAATATTTTAAAGTGTTTGAAGTATTAGAAATAAAAATGGGCCAAACCCAACTCAACCCCACCCCACCCCACTTACTCTCTCTTACTCTTACTCCGAGACATTCACACACAATCACTCACTCACATACACACACACACACACACACACACACTCTCTCTCTCTCTCTCTCTCTCTCTCTCTCTCCCTCCCCCCTCTCTCTCCTAGATCGGGAAACGCCACAAACACCCTAAACCTTATACTTAATGGTCTAACTTACGCCAGAGAGACTACCACCGTCACAGCCCTTATTTCCCTTCATCGGAAAACCCGACCGTCTCCTAAATGCCGTCTCAACCATGTATCAGATACTTATACGACTTTCCGTTATTTGAAGCTTAATCTCCTCCCTTTTTATAGGTCGATGCTTTCTCCCACTATTTCCCACCATCATCACCACTTCTCTCTTTTCCAGTGGTTGGAATCAAAATCACATGGATCAATTATTTGCATCTCGTTTGGGAGTGAAGTTGGACCCTCAACTTAAGAGTACAATGAACTAGAGAAAGCCTTGAAAAATCCAATAAGTCTTTCATCTGGGTTCTATAATTTGTAACTTCGACATCCATGGTTCTTTCTAGGGGGTGGTGGTGGGTCAAACAGAAGACGATAAAAAAGAAGAGTAAGGGCACCACAACTGTCGATTTTGAGCCACCATATACCATCGAGTTCTTATCTCATTGTGGGTGTGTAAAACTCTGTTTTCACCTTTTGAGATATAAAAATATAAATCATTGTTTATAAAAACGAAAATGAAATTTTATTACGTTTTAGCTAAAATGAGCAACTTGAAAGTTGTAGTAGACATCAATACGATCGCGTGGATATAAAGAATGTCGGAAATGGAGTTCGTATGTGAAAGTTACAATTTTTACAAGTTTTGGCAGATTTTATATAATTCGCGGCGCCGCCAATGTTTTACCGCAGCACGATGGCCAGATTTTGCCTTATAAATAAAGGGCTTCCCTCACTTATTTTCCTTACCACTTTCTTGTTAAATCTCCCTCACTCTCTCCCTCTCGAGATTTTAGTCCCCCGTGATTCAATTTCTCGTTTTGTAATATCATTAGGGAAGCACTGGAAGTTTTAGAAAGATCCTTCGGGAGAAGGATCAAGTGTTGAAGTTATGCTCGCTGTTTTTTGAGTTATTCGTCAATCGGGTAAGTTATAATTTCGCTTAAGTATAACTTCATATAAAGTATACTCATTGTCGTTATTATGAACCCGTGTATTAAATTAATCATTGATCCCAGATATTATACAAATTGATCTACTTACGAGAGAATGTCTAAGATAGACACGTTGGACTAGTTTTTTGATTTTAGAAAGGCTGTATGCCAAAATGATCCTGCTTCCTGACTATCATGACTGGCTAATGCTTATTTGATAGTCATTTCAGTATTAATGGGATTAGTGAAGGATCTATATATTAGTCTTTGTATTCCCTAGATATTGATATACTCTAGTATTATCGGTTGTTATGTGTTTGACGCGCCTCCTCGCCAGTTGGATGTTAATAGTTTTTTGAATAACTGTTTAGGTAAGTTTTCTCACTATACCTCATATGATAATTGATATCTTTGCATGATAGAATATAGGACCTATAAGTATATGCTTATACTTGTAGACTAGATTAGTCTTCTATATGTTTTCTATTTCATTTTTTGGATGGCTCCTTTATGCATCATGTTTTGGAGGGTCGATGACGGAACGACGCAAGGATACGAGTCCAAAGATACCTAGCATTGTTGACGGAAAGGTACAAGGCTGTAAGTCAACTTTCTATTATGTATGGAAGGTTAATGAAGGAACGACACAAGGATGCGAGTCAAAGTGTAACATCCCAATTTCCAAGCCTAATTTTTTTTTTAAATTAAGTAACTCTCAACATAGTTTACCAAAACATTTCCCATGCCATATCAATTGCAAACAACACTATAACAATGTGTCTGAAAATCATAATGTCAAGGTAAAATCAATTAGAGTACAATCCCAGAAAATTTCGTGCGGAAATCATGTGTGTGTGTGATGTGCTGCTACACTGCCGGCTCCTTCCCCTTAGACGAAGAGGTACCTGAAACCAAAACTAAAACTATAAGCACAAAGCTTAGTGAGTTCCCCCATCATACCACATACCATACAGACATATCTCATTCATACTGCCGGACAATTCTGGGGTGCCCGACCTACCCAGTACGACCATTCTGGGGTGCCGACCTACCCGTGTCAAGCCATTCTGGGGTGCTGACCTACCCATGTCAAGCCATTCTGGGGTGCTGACCTACCCTTCGGTCTTATCAACCGAACCTCGGGGACTATTCCACCCCCTACCGCTACTATCACATATATCATAACGTAAACATACTGTCAGACGTTTCTGGGGTGTCCGACCTACCCTTCGGTCCTAACAACCGAACTTGGGGACTATTCCCTCCCTACTACCACTATCACATATAACATATCATGCCAGCATATAATTGTATCATCACATACTGTCAGACATATATGGGGTGTCTGACCTACCCTCCGGTCCTAACAACCGGACTCTACTACTGTCACATATATACACACATATATATATATATATATATATATATATATATATATATATATATATATATATATATATATATATATATATATATATATATATATCATGCTAGCATATAACATATCAGGTAGTAGCAAACCTAGATGAATATCACAAAGACAATCATCCAACATACAACTCCTACTGGTGGGCCGGCATTGTGGCCGTAGACCCACCGCTACTGGAAGGTAACTCACCTCGAACGAGTAGCTGCTGATAATCTGTGCGGGAAATCTCTGTCTGCTGCTGCTCCGGAAATCCTCCGGATATAATCCCCATAAAACACTTAATCAGAGTCTGAAATCTATTCTTAGGGTAAAATGACCATTTTACCCCTGACCAAGTCCAAGTCAAAGTCAAAGTCAACTTCCAGTTGACCCGACTCGCCGAGTTGGGCCGCCAACTCGTCGAGTCCCTATCTCTTCAACTGTCCTCATCCACGATTCTACTCGTCGAGTTGGCCCGCCAACTCGTCGAGTCCCTATCTCTTCAACTGTCCTCATCCACGACTCTACTCGTCGAGTTTAGCAACGACTCGACGAGTTCTCCTTCTAACACAACCCCGGATGAACCTTCATCCGACTAGCCGAGTTGTATGAACAACTCGTCGAGTCCATCTTCATCCTATGAACACGTCTTGTCCTCGACTCGCCGAGTTGTATGAACAACTCGTCGAGTTCATCTTCAAGAGTTAGGAGATTGCCTTGCACTTGCCGAGTCGACTCATGCA